TAGAATGAATGTACTAAAATCACAAATAAATAAATATGTATAAAAAATAAATACACAAATAAATTATTAAAGTAATCTAATTTCTAATTTTGGTCGCAGCTAAAATAAAGTTTGATATCTCTTGATGAACTAATTTATCTTGATGTGAAAGTAAATATGTGAAACGAGAAATGTTATTGTCAGCCGGAACTTTAATTTTATGTAACAGTTGAGATCTCTGCTGTTCATATTTTTGACAATCTAAAAGGAAATGGATCTCATCTTCAATGCAGTTATTACAAAATTGACAAAGTCTGCTATTTATTGGTACTTTTGGGATAGAATGTCTGCCTTTTTCAATAGCTAAACTATGATCGCTAACCCTGAATTTAGTGAACATTTTTCTATTTTCACCATTCAAATTAAGTAAATAAGGCTCCAAATTGTACTTTGTTTTAAATGTTGAATAATAATAATAATAATAACAATAATAATAATAATAATAATAATAATAATAATAATAATAATAATAATAATAATAATGATGATGATGATGATGATGATGATGATGATGATGATGATGATGACGTCTTCTCTTGAACTCATAATATATTTAAATATCTGGTCATCACTTTTCAATTCTTCTGGAATACTGATATTATTAAATAGCTTTTGTCTTTCTGTTTGGTACCTAGGACATCCCATGAAGAAATGTTCTTCATTTTCAATTTTGATCTGGGAACATTGTCTTCTAAAGGTATTTTGGGTTGGGTATTCTGAAATGAGTCAATAAGATTTTATGTTTCAGATTACATAAGAGCAAATATGGTTCAAAAGTGTATGAGTCTTTAAACTTCATATACGTTCTCAGTTTTCTATTATCATTTGTTACACTCAACTTCCAGAACTCTACATACCTTTGTTGGATGTTTTTTCGTATGTTTTTTATTTTACTGTGAGGTAATTTTTGAGGTATGACAGACGAAGACAAGTTTGTAATATTTTCGGAGACCATGTTTTTTACTGATGTAAACCAATTTAAAGTTTGTTGTTTTTGTTCTTCAAAGGCTTGTTTTGTAATATTACTGTCTGGTAAGGCACTAATACGATACCAGTATTTAATAAGATTTTCCTGTATATCTACAAGTAATGGAAATTTACCAAGTTCAGCTCTGCATGCTGCATTTGAGAAGAATTTACTCACACCTAGTATTTTTTTGCAGAATTTCAAATGTACCTGTTCAATTGGTGTTTTGTCCCATCTATTATTGTCTAGTATGTCATGTCCCCAAGTTGTTGATCCATATAACAAAATTGGTTTAATACATATCTGAAAAAGGTGCATAAATGTTCTACAGTCAGTCTCTCTTGACATTGCTTTCAACAGTGCATACATTGCTCTAGTAGCTTTGTCTGCTAAATGTTGTCTTGTTTCTTGGAACTTTCCATTTGATTGTAAAGTTATACCTAAATAAATATAAGAATTGACACAACTTATATTTTGTTCTTGGAATTGAAATAACTCTCAATGTTATGAATGTTATTACACCGTGAATAATTTGATTATTTTGGAAAGAGTGACAGAAATTGATGATTGCAGTCAAAGGCGATGATAACATTGACTGACGTTTATTTTTTCATTCTTCCTAGTCCTCGATCCATGCCAGCCAAATCCCTGTCAGAACGGTGGCTTTTGTACATCACAGCAAGGGTCATGCACCCAGTACCAGTGTTTCTGTCTACAGTGCTATACAGGAACGAACTGTGAAAGTTGTAAGTGTGGTTTTTATTTTGTTTTTTTCTCCTTGTACTGTGACATTTAAATGCAGTGATTCAAACACTGCTGTAAAGAAGTTTCTACCAGAAAATGCTTAAATTTGATAATTTTACCTCGCCTTGTTGGGGTCACTATGTTAATTTAAGGTGAGAAGTGTAATTAATTGATAGGATTTTCTATTTTTTTTTTATTAGTTATTGATGCATGTCAGAACAACCCATGCCAGAATGGAGGAACATGTCTTGCAGTTCAGGGATCATGTACACAACTTACCTGTACCTGTCTTGGCTGCTACACGGGTACATTCTGTGAAACATGTAAGTTAAATCTTTACACTTTATGTTAAATATTTCAAAAATCACATAAGCATCTAAAGTGAACTCTGTAAACATCTGAAATCATAGACTTGTATTGTAAACATTCTGTGAAACGATCTATATTATTCTCTGCTGCTGCTGGTTCCAACAGGCTTCACTTTATCTGCATCATTTCTTGTCAGCGTTCATTGATACTTATATTATTGCTGAATGCTTAGTCTCTGTTCTGTTTTGTTTTTTAGTGCAAGATCCGTGCCAGTTTAATCCTTGTGGGAATGGTGGTACTTGTTTAGAAGTCTCCTGCACACAGTATTCATGCTTGTGTGGAGCCTGCTATCTAGGAAACAACTGTGGTCAAAGTAAGTTAATCAGGGAAGCATGGTTTTGCTGTTTGTGATTGACTGTTTTCCTCATTCTGATGACACCTCAGTTTATGCTAAATACATCATATCGCATACATGCCTGTATAAACAATCAAGATTACCGGTACTCTATATTTAATAAATTAAATGCTAATTGTTTTACTCTCAGGAATCAACCAGTGCCAGCCTAATCCTTGTCAGAACAATGGAGTTTGTCAACCTTCATTCGATCCAGAAAATTGTTATGATTTTACTTGTGCCTGCTCAGGATGTTTTACCGGCCAACTCTGCACTACAGGTAAAATATTATAATTGAAATCAAGTACATGCAAGCTGGCGTTTCAATGGGAAAATGTATGGACATTTCCTCCGTTGCTGAATTCTGACAGTCTAGTGATGGAGTACACAATTTTATTTCATGATTGTTTTATAGAATTCAACACTCCAAAAATATAGATTTCTGCTGAGAATGATGCCTTGACCTTTTAGGAAATTAGTCTGTCGATAATTGTGATATATTTTGCATTTTCAGAATTGGATCCATGCACCCCAAACCCATGTGCTCGTGGACAGTGTCGACCGGTAACTGGTTCCTGTGATCTGTACTCCTGTCAATGTCCTGTTTGTTTTGCTGGTGATATTTGTAACATACGTGAGTGCATTAACACTAACAAAAAAAAACATTTTTCCATATTTTTGAAGTATCATTGTTTTCACAATGCATGGAATAACTATCTTGTAGCCTCGTAAAATGACTTTCAAATTTATCAAGTTACTTATAACCATAACACCTTCATTCGTATTTGATTTTGCAGCCATTAATCTGTGCGCAAGTAACAATCTCTGTCAGAATGGTGGAACTTGCACCATGAGTTCGAACTGCCAGCAAATCAGTTGTTCATGTGATAGTTGTCACACTGGTGAATACTGCGAGAACCGTAAGTATTGATTTTTGTTCAGTTTCCCGTCCACTGTGGTAGATAAATACATGTAATAGGCCCAGTAGATGTAGGCTTTGTTGCACTGGATATACGACCAGTAGATGTAGGCATCAACACTTGCACTATAGTAATAAATATGATAATAAATAGTAGAACAACTTCAAATGAATTTGAATGTTTAACTGCTATTTCTCTAGCTTCTCTTGAATATAATATTGACATTGGGTTGTTTTTATTTTTCATATTCAGTCGTTGATTTATGTCAAACTAATCCATGCCAGAACAATGGATTCTGCCGGAGTACATGCCCGACATATACGTGCACATGTGATCAGTGTTGGACTGGGCAAAACTGTGATATTGGTAAGTCAATTTCATTAAACAGAAACAAATTTAACCATCTTGTAAGGTTTTGTAGAAAAACAAAAACAAAAGTATTTCAGAAATCACCATGTGGTGGTGTACTACATACATTCATCAAGTCTTCTTTTTCTCACATCTATATTTGTCAGTATTTTTTCAGCTAACAGGTTTTTGTGTTTTTGTTTTTCATAGCTGTAGATGCCTGCGCTGCCATCCCATGTAGAAATGGTGGAACCTGTACTGACTACTGCACCTATTATACCTGTCAGTGTTCTTCATGCTGGACAGGGCAAAACTGCGACATCCGTAAGTTTCAATCTTTATTAATTATATTGCTAGCTGACTTTCCAAACTACCATATATCTTTATTATGCAGAGTATTTTTTCTAAATATGTATCTTATTACTAATATAAGTAATACTACAAAAAATAAGATAAAATTATTGATGTGAATATACTCACAAGTGTAAGACTCTATGAAGTGGCAAAGCCAGTGGATGACAACTTGGGAGTTCTGCTCTGAGTGTATTGTAGATCTCCCTCTGTTTTTTTTCTTGTCTCAGAGACAATACTTCATGTTGAACACTTGCAGCATCTTGGCCAGAGTTTTACTGAAACCATATAACAAAATAATGTAATTTTTTCCCAAAACTTCCTGTCTGCTCATATTGTGTGATTTCTACATACTTTAAAATATTTGAACAAAAATATTTATATAAACAAATTATTCTACCGAAAAGTGCTTAAATTTATGTACCAATTTGATGATTTTACCACTATGTTAATAACACTTGCAGCATGTTGGCCAGAGTTTTACTGAAACCATATAACAAAATAATGTAATTTTTTCCCAAAGCTTCCTGTCTGCTCATATTGTGTGACTTCTACATACTTTAAAATATTTGAACAAAAATATATATATAAAAAATTATTATTAATAGTGAATGAGGTCTAAATGTTAAACATCATGAAATTCTTCTTTTTTCATTCTGCAGCTATAAACCCTTGTGCCAACAACCCCTGTCTGAATTCTGGACAGTGTGTGTCTAACAGCGACTGTACATCGTATACCTGTAACTGTCCTGCATGCTATGAAGGAAGCAGCTGTGAAATAGGTAAGTTCTTATAAATTCTGTTAAGTCTTAAAACTAAGATTAAATTCTATGCCATCAGTATATGACTCTTAGTCTATTTCATTAAATTATTGTACATATATTTGTCTTACTAGAAGCCCATCTATAATAGAATTATACATATATCAATTATTATCTTTAACACATTGCCTGTTGAAAGTATTTCCAGACATCCCAAAATCGATGGAAAAAAAGAAGTGAGAGGGCAGTGTGTTAGGGTATTTGTTTACTGGATATATTTGCTACTAAAACAGAAAGTTAAATATAATTCAATAAAATTAGTGTAAACTACTGTAAAATATTTTATTTTTGCTTGGAATTAATTTTCCCTGAAGGAATGATTCAGTAAAAATAAAATCCAGCGAATATACTTTTTTTCATATATTTTACATTCAACTCCAAAAATAAGTAAAAATAAAATCCATACAAAACACCCAAAAAGTCTTTGCAGCAAAAATTAATTCCAGCTAAAATATAGTACTTCACAGTATAAAATAAAAAATAATCTCATCTTATGGAACAGTGCAAATGTGCTTAGTTATTGTATGTCCATGACTTAAGTATCAATTTGTTTTCTCTTCCAGCACTGAATCCATGTCAGCCTAATCCCTGTCTGAATGGTTACTGTCAGCAACAGCCCGGATCCTGTATTGAATATACTTGTACCTGTCAAGGCTGCTATGTTGGAAACAACTGTGAAACACGTAAGTTAAGAACACGTTATATTAAAAATAAATCTTTATGAAAAACACCAGATTTTAACACCCCCAAGTCAACGTAAGGGATAACTCGTCTCATCGCATTTAGATTGCTGTTAATTACTACTGTAACAGTTTCTTGTGTTTTGTTTCAGTTCAAAACCCATGCCAACAATTGCCATGTCTAAATGGCGGATTCTGCGTGCAGACGCCTGGATCTTGTACGGATTTCACCTGTTCCTGTCCACAGTGCTACACTGGATCTCTCTGTGAAATAAGTATGTATAATGTCTGCAATTAATAAAAACTCACTTTCAAGAATGTTGGAATTAAATCATTAAATATAGATTATCAAAATGTTATGCAAAAAAAAAAAAATTTTAAAAAGTTTTCCTCTAATTAACTTGTATATTCAGATATGTTTATATTGATCGTACAATTTTAAAAAAAATTATTAGATGTGTGTAACTTTCATCTTTACCATTGTGTGTCAACTTTTATTTTATTTTATCGTAGTGCTTAATCCGTGTGATAACAATCCATGTCAGAATGGTGGAGTGTGTGCGGCTGTGCCTGGTTCTTGTGTACAGTACACATGTCAGTGTCCAGGATGTTACATCGGAGTAAACTGCGAAACATGTGAGTTCATCAATTAAACAAATTTGTGATATTCTTAGCTTTGGACTGACGTCACACATTTTAACAAAACTATGAATTACTATGGGGTGTTCCTAAGCTATTTCAAATGTGGAGTAGATATAATTTAGTTTACTTGATACTAAATTGGTACTTTATTCTCAAATTTATGATTTCTCATTTCTCTTGTAGTGCAAAACCCATGTGTACCCAACCCTTGTCAGAATCAAGGCATGTGTCTACAAACGGCTGGTGTCTGTGACACCTATCAGTGTCAGTGCTCTGGATGTTTCACTGGCACTAACTGTCAAACTGGTAAGTACAGTTGAAACCTCTGTGATGTCATCATTTTGGGTGTTGAATCCTCTGTAATGTCTTTATTTTCAGTGAGGGTGTGGAAACCTGTGATGTCATCATTTTCAGTGAGGATGTGGAAACCTCTGATGTCATCATTTTCAGTGAGGGTGTAGAAACCTCTGTGATGTCATCATTTTCAGTGCTTGACACCTATAAAACTGCCAAATAACTGCAATATTATTACCTTTACACAGAGATCAACCCATGTTCCAACTTCCCATGTCAGAATGGTGGTCAGTGTAGTCAGTCTCAGAATGACTGTCAGGAATTCACGTGCCAGTGTTCAGGCTGCTTTGTAGGAGATAACTGTGAAACATGTAAGTTTTGTATGATGAACTA